GTTAGACCTTAAGTGTGAGTATCTTTAATCAGACTGCTCTGTTCCTAAGATCTGGTGAGCAGCCGTACTGAAGAAACTGAATGAAGTGGTTTGAAGAACATAGTACCTGGAGGGAGAACAGGGCTGGGTAAGGGCTTAGTCAGGTGGCAGTGTGAGGACACTGGGCCCTTTGCAATAAGAAAATAGGAAGCACGGAAAGGAGGAAGAAATTGCTTTATAGTTTCTCCAGTGGTCGTGATGAGCCCAGTCACCCATAATGCCATTGTAAAGCAGCTTCCACTGTGTGCCAAGCTAATTGCTACATTGCTGAGCCTGGTGCGAGTGCCTGTCTTAAGGCATAGCATTGCAGAAGTGGTAGTGATGGGACAACAACAGGGGAGACGGAGAGAGAGAAGAGCGTCAGACAGTGGAGAATAGGGGAGAAGGCAATGCCAACAATAAACTCAGGGCCATCGATGGCCCGTCTGCCCTTTAAAAGTCTGACTTAACTTTCACTGCCAATGATATCTTAAAGAGGCTCAAAGTTTTATTTGAGTATATTTTTGGTGCTCTGCATTCCAATCAACTGGTTAGCATTTGAAAAGCCTGAGGTTCCGAGCATTGGTTAAAGGAACTTGTTTAAAGTATAAAAGGATCCCAATTTCCTGGTGAGATACAAAATCCAAATATTCTGGCTGCCAGGCACTGAGCTAACCAAGAAAGTTACCTCCCTGACACTAAAGATTTATAGTTATTCAAAACTCAAATACTCTGAAACTGCATTATTTTTAAATGATTATATATTTCTCAGAATATCTGAAGATAAAATGGCCCCTCTGTTTTAAATAGCAAATGAGAGAAGAAAGGAAATAGGTTTAGGGACTTGTTATGATAGAGGCCAGATCTTTGTGACAATAGCAAGTCTTATAGTGACTAGATGTGTTAGTGGGTCCAACTTATCCAAAATAGGCTAAGAAATTTTTATGGCATGTTCACAGTTCCATAAATTTGTCTACTTTCCTATTTTTAAGTTAGTGACATTCAGACCGACATGCACTAGTATTTGGCAATATTGCTCCCATGAATCTGAACACACAGTTTATTGCCTCAGAATTATGCCAGCCTCTCCACATGGCGTATTTTTTATCCAAAGTCATTCAAGATTCTTCATTTAAGATCTAATCGCTCTAGAAAGAAGACAGCATAAGATCATTATTCCCATTTTACAGCTGAAGAAATTTATAAGGAAGAAAATCTTTATCCTAGAACCAGTAGGGTTTCACACACTTGCGCAGTGGCTCTGAATGCAGTCCTTATATTTTAAGCAGTGAAGGACTAAGGAGCAGTGGCTTGGCCTCATGGGAATATATATTAGCCTCTTAGTTAAGGGTCTTATCTTACTAGAACCACTAAACTTTCTCTACAGCATTACCCAACAGTGGCAGAGTCATTTTGCTGGTTTAGGTCCTGCCATATTAATAATCCATTTTGAAACAATGTGGTTGCCACCTGCTGATCTAAGTTGACCACAGACATGTGTCCATATCAGAGAGATAGCTAATCAGTAACTCAAAAACAATCCATAGTCCTGTTTTTACATTGTTGAAAATACTCCCCTTATCCAAAACAGAGGTCCACAATATACCTTTAATACTAAGACCAGTATGTGCATAAGCATTTAGACTACATGTTTGTGGAGTAAGGACATGTATGTAGTCCAGTTCTTTCTGAGATCATTTTCAGCTGGGCAACAGACTTGTGTGGTAAAGGACAATTCATTAGAAGGCATGTTACTTAAGTAGACCCTATTTTCAGTTCTGTTCGGATTTGTCTATTTGTCTCAGTCCACAATATGGAAACACTTCCCCTTCTAGGTCTGTCCTTTTCCTGACTCCTCCATAAAATTTGCTTTCTGTCTGGAAGTACAAAAAGACACCCAGTTAGATCAAACCTAGCACACCTCCTTCACAAAGCTACTGCAAGCTGCCGCCGACGATTGTCACTTGAGGGGAGACCCTCCTCACCACACACAGCCTATCTGAGGAGTGCCTTTTTTTCTATCCTCATTATTTAACAGTGTGTGCCGATTACTCAAAGCGATATGGGCAGGCCCTGGTAAATATAGCGTTGCTGTAGTGTTAACTTTTTATAAGGTAATGCTCAGGTTGCCTGCAGTGTCTAAAATTACTCTGTGGCCAGGGCCCCCTGCTTTATCGCTTTCTATAGTTTTAAAGTAGTTTGAAGCTTGAATAACATAAAATAACATAATATAATGTTATTTATGTTATTTCCCACGTGAAGAACGCCTGTAAACCTTGCAGTATTGAAACTCAGTGAACAAGGCATCTTAGACAAGCTGAAAAACAAATGGTGGTACGATAAGGGGGAATGTGGAGCCAAGGACTCCGGGAGTAAGGTCAGTCGCTGAAGGTCTTTTTGTACTGATTAGCAATCACATTTTGACCCACTGTTTATTTTCTACCCTAAAACGGCTTTCCTTCCCAACACACACTCCCTGACACAGTGGGACCCCTTTATAACAACAGCGCTAAAGGAATAAGACAATTGCCAGCCTCAGAGGTCTGCCATGTGACATCAATTGTTGACTCTATAGAGCTATTATCATGATTAGGAAACTCAGTCTGGTCTATTGCATTTCCAAAGCTATAAAATAACGAGCTGTGTTATAAGGGGGTTTTACTGTATTTCACATTTCAAAAGTTCAAAGAGAAAATATAACAACAACCACCAAAAAAAAGACTTATTTGTGACAGTACTTCTTCTTAACCTCTTACAGTGTCAGAGACTTTGTAGTTATAAATGCATTTGGTTATTAATATATTATGTTGATCCATCTGAAAACAGTCAAACAAATATATAAGAAAGACTGGTCTCTGTAAGCAGAATGATTAGCCTCCTGCCAGCTGCTGTTGTATTGAGTTCAGCATTAATTTGGATCTCGAATCTCATTAAGTCTGTCACACTTCTCTCTTCCAAAGGTGTCATTTGAATCTCTGTACGTAATACTTTTAAAATTTAGTCGCATGCTCCTTAAAGGTATACATTGTCAGGATAACATCACATTAATAAGCATGAAACACTCTTCCCCGCCTCCTTCCTGCCCCCCTTCGCTCCCCTAAGAAAGTTCTTTTTAGTTTCAATTTTTGCCTTTCCTTTTTTCGGACTAATATTGTGGTATCAGTTAATTCATTTCATGAAATGCCACTCATTTTCCCCGTGCAATGAACCATTTTGCTACTGGTTTTCTACATTCCACATCAGGGAATTCTATAACTCTTGTGAAACTTAAATAATACATGGAACTTGAAACTGTTCTTCTTGCTCCAGCTTACATAGGTTATGTCAAAGGATCTCTCCCCCCATTAAATATCACATACACATAAAAATCTAATGGCAGAGGAAGGGTTACCAGAAATTGCTGTTTCCCAATGGACTGTGGAATATCCTTGCAGATAGCCTCAGCAGCCTCCTTAAAGAGATAATTCAATGTTTCATATGTGATAGAAATTATTACTACTTATCTAGCTGTCATTCATCCTAGAAGAGTGACTATTTGCAAGGTTGTTGTGAATATGAGACATTCCCACACCCCATTTCTGAATGCAATTCAATTTCAATTGGACTTTTTATTAAGGTAAACAAGTACAGGACTGGCTCCTATGAAAATAGGATCAGAAGGACATGGCTATATTGTCTTTACTTTTAATTATTTAAATGATATGAAGACCAGCTGAACCAGAGTGTTGAGTGTCAGCAATGGCCATCATCTGTTCGCCGTGTTGTCACTTAAATAAGATGCTCAAAATTCACTGGCATAACAATTTGAGTATTCCATTCAATTACATTCAGCAGCAAAATGGTTACATTCCCTCTAAAAAGACTACAAATTGCTATTTTATTTTATTTCTTTTTCAAAGAAAGACTCCTGGCCCTTGGTGTGTCCTACCTCAAGGTAGGGCTCAAGACACCAACTTTTATCTTTCCATTGTTCAGCAATTCAGTTTTTGCTTTTTCATACAGGCAGATAGCTTAGTCAGATTTGCACAGTTTGACCTGAAAGTCACTGACCGGCTTCCTCAATTTTTTCCCCTTGTTAAATAGAAAGCAAATAAGTGTAATTTTTAAAAATTATTTTCTACATTACCTGGAGTAAAAGGTAAAAATGAGCTGGATTTTTTAAAAAATTATCATCCTCCTGGAAAAGCTTTCTGATTTATATGGAGCCAATCTAGGACCCCATGGATCCTCCTGACAGTTTCCTTAAACTCTCAGGAAAATGGAATGGAGCCAATTCTTTGTGCTGTGCCCTTGTTCCAGCAGCACAAAGACTTGCTGCCCTGATTTTAACTAGGATGAGGACTTAGCAGCCAATCTCCAAAGGGAGCAATTTCTCAGCCACTGGGGGAAAGAGGAGAGAGTTAACCCTTTTTAAGCAAACCCTCACAAAATCACTCCCCAGATAAGAATAGTAGGAACCTCCAATATTATCATGTCGTATCTTAAAGACTAGTTGTTCGCAAAGTTTGTCATAGGGAGAGCAAGGGAGAAAGGGGTGTTGCGGGGCAGAGAGGGGAAAGAGTGCTTCAAGTTCCCAAATGAAAAGAGTGTTACATTTATAGAGATTATGTCACAGCTCAACTCTGACAACTGGTGTTTATTGAGGCTGGCAGAGGAATAAATTATGCTTGTGTTTACTCTCTTGTTCCCATGGCCAAGTGCTGTTATATTAACTGCTGAACATCACTTTTAGGCACTAAGAGACGTAAGGAGTCAAGATAAAAGGACATTTAGGTGAGGATAAAGAATGTCAACAGAAGCACAATCTACCATCTTGCTGGTCATTGCAAAACATTAGCCAGTTGCCAGAGTTGAGTCATAACACTTACATCAATGTTTAGTTATTTTACAATTTAGAACTACCATATACTGTTGTAATATATGATAATGTTCCATTGCCTTTGTTTTTCCCAAGAACTAATCACATTGTTCATTTCTCTTAGGACAAGACCAGCGCTCTGAGCCTGAGCAATGTCGCAGGCGTTTTCTATATACTTGTTGGAGGTCTGGGGCTGGCCATGATGGTGGCTTTGATAGAATTCTGTTACAAATCACGGGCAGAGTCCAAACGCATGAAACTCACAAAGAACACCCAAAACTTTAAGCCTGCTCCTGCCACCAACACTCAGAATTATGCTACATACAGAGAAGGCTACAACGTGTATGGAACAGAGAGTGTTAAGATCTAGGGGTACGGTTAAGGTCTAGTAAACTAATCAGCTTTCCATTACTGTATGTCAATCTCTTTTTTTCCTTTTTTTTTTAAGTTTGATTTATTGTTTAAAGCATTGTCTCTTCTTTGCAACCATTTGATTCTTTGAAAACAACGATTGTGCTTCTTGTCAGGCAGTGGTACTTTTCTAATAGAATGATTGTAATTAAACTGTGGTCTGTGACCCAAAGAGAAAAGCAATTCTCCAGAGCAGTATTGTTCAATAGAAAATATACGCAAGCCACATACATGAGCCACGTGTATAATTTTAAATGCTCTAATAGTCATAAGTTAAAAAGTAAAACAAGTGAATTTAATTGTGATGATACATTGTATTTAGCCCAATACATTCAAAATAAAATCATTTCAACATGTTATCAATATTTAAATAATGAGAAATTTTACATTTTCACACTAATCTTGGAAACCTGAGGTATGTTTTATACTTATGGTACATCTTGACTCATATTAGTTACATACCAAATGTTCAGTAGTCATACATGGCCCGTGGCTACCGTGTTGGACAATGACTCTCTAGAGAGAGCAGCTGCTCTGGAACAGGTATTAAAATTAGGAACACAAGTGAGGCACTGCCACCTCAAGTAATACAGCACTTCCACAGGGAGAGGTGCTTCTTTTAAGTAAACAGTGTATTCAGTCAGAGATAACTTTCTTAAGCTTTGAGTTCTTTTGCTGTCCCTTCCTTGGAACTGATGCGCAAGTAATTGTCTCTTAAAGGACAGTCTATGCTCCCTGCTGCTAGCCAAGCCCTAATTCATATTTCAATGGACCTGAGTGTTGCCACCTTGACTCTGGTGAATACAAACTCCACCAATAATTCAGACATGTTCAAATGCAAGCTTGAATTAGGATAATGTCTCCATTCTGGACGTTTTTAAAAGAATATAGTCTTGTTACTTTAAAGTGCATCTGTCATCACTAAAATGCCTATCTGAAGTGGAACAGAACAATAAGCAACTTCAAAACCCTTATTTTAGGTGATTTTGACCTCATGAGTAATTGTCAATATGCTAGGATTTCTACAAGTGCATTTGTGGTTTTTAAATTTTTTTGGTTTTGGGTTTTTGGGGATTTGTTTTGTTTCGTTTTGTTTCTGAGACGGAATTTCACTCTATCACCCAGCCTGGAGTGCAGTGACACGATCTTGGCTCATTACAACCTCGGCTCATTGCAACCTCTGCATCCCAGGTTCAAGTGATTCTTCTGCCTCAGCCTCCTAAGTGACTGGGATTACAGGCACATGCCACCATGCCCAGCTTATTTTTTGTATTTTTAGTAGAGATGGAGTTTCACCATGTTGGCCAGGCTGGTCTCCAACTCTTGACCTCAAGTGATCTTCCCGCCTTGGCCTCCCAAAGTGCTGGGATTACAGGCATGAGCCACTGCACCCGGCTGCATTTGCGTTTTGATCTTCTTATAGTTCATATTGTGGATTTACATTTAGTCAATTTTTAAATAATATTGCATTCAAAGAAATCATTTGCCTTGGTCATGGAAAACATCATTTTGTCCAGCAAAGTTGCTGGTTGTTCTTTCTTCCTGCCTTTGCCACACATGTTCAGCACACTGCACCAATCTGCTGACAGTGTTCCCATTGCACTAGCGGATGTACAATACGTGGATTCATCTGTAATTGCATTGTTTGCATGCAAGCATTTAATGTTTCAATGTGCTTAAAATGTTTTACTCTTGAATAGGTGCTATAGGCCCATTACAATATTAATACATGATCCATTTTCAAAGTGATCCACTTTCTTTCTTTAGCCTACACATAGGCATGCTTGCTGGAAATGAGTGATTTCAATCCCACTTAATTATCCCAAATTTTCGGTTCTGGTATCCAAATAAATAATACACCTTAAATTTGTGTAGTAGTCATCCAAATGCTCTCACATCTATTGGCTTATTCAAGATAAGACAGATCAGGCAGTTATCAGTAAGACCCAGCCCATCAGGTTACTTACTCAAGGCAGCACAGTTAGGTAGTGGCAGTTCTGGGACTTAGAACCCAGCTCTTCTTCTGCCTATAGCCATATTCTTTGCTAAACCATGCTACTTCTAACCATCCATGGCCTGATGTCCTCCAGGAAACTTGAAATCCTAATGATATCCTGTCAAATGGGGAGCAGATCTTGCATTTCTGTTCCTCTTGTCTGCGAAAAAGTCTTGAGGAACTTCACCAAGCCTCCATATGTCCCATTCCTTATGCACTCCACACAAGATTGAATATTCAATCACTCCTACTTTCCCCAGAGAGAATCCTTCTGAAATAGAATTATATCAGGGCTCAGGGTCACATGACCTCCAGACTCTTTTGATCAACTATTCCAACTGAGAATTTCTGTCCCTACTACCCAAATACTATAGCCTCAGACTCTTGTTAAAGCCCCAGAGCAGTATTCATTAAACATTAGTGTGCATGTGACTCATGTGGGAACCTTTTAAAAATATAGATCCTGATCCAGCAGGTCTGGGATGGGGCCTGAGAGTCTACATTTCTCACAATCTCCCAGGTCATGCAAATGTTGCTTGTCCCAGGAGTAAAAAGATTCTAGAGAAAATAGTCTCAGAGAATGTAACTTAAGAAAAGAAAGAAAGGGGCTGGACACAGTGGCTCACGACTATATCCCAACACCTTGGGAGGCCAACATGGACGGGTCACCTGAGGTCAGAAGCTCAAGTCCAGCCTGACCAACATGGAGAAACCCTGTCTCTACTTTAAAAAAATACAAAATTAGCTAGGCATGGTGGTACATGCCTGTCATCTCAGCTACTCAGGAGGCTGAGGCAGAAGAATTGCTTGAACCCGGGTGGTGGAGGTTGCAGTGAGCCAAGATCGTGTCATTGCACTCCAGCCTGGGAAACAAGAGTGAAACTCCATCTCAAAAAAAAAAAAAATAGAAAAGGAAAGGAAAGAAAAGAAAAGAAGAAAAAAGCAAGGGAGAGAAAGAATGATAGAAATACAGGAAGAAAGAGGAAGGAGGGAAGAAAAGCAGGAAGGCAGAAAGGCAGGAAGGAAGGAAGGAAGGAAGGCAGGAAGGAAGGAAGGAAGGAAGGAAGGAAGGAAGGAAGGAAGGAAGGCAGGCAGGAAGGAAGGAAGGCAGGCAGGAAGGAAGGAAGGAAGGAAATTAAAGGGAAGAAACTGGGATCAGTAAACCTTTGTTAGGGCATAATGTTGCCATCCAAAACTGGAGGCCTGGAGCATCAAACCTGAGGGGAAAGTCTCAGAAACTAATATGCCACAACTTCTGGCTTTCCTTTACTCATCTGAGTTGATTCACTTTTGTGAAGCAAAATTCAGGCTAATTGAGGCAACAGCCACATTTAATAGACTCCAATGCCAACGTGGTTACAGCTCAATTACCTAGAACCTTGGCAACCATCTCTAGGGTGAAAAGAAAGCTTGGGAAGAGCATCTGAAAACAAATCTGTCCTCCAAGCCTGTACAAAGTCTCCAGACAAGAAGCAAAAGCCTCATAAGATGCCGGGAAAACCTCACTTGTGTTAGTCAAGAGGCGTAAAGCAAGCTGCTTTGAAATCTCTCTATTTTCCTCAGCCAATTTGGTGATGTGACATTAGGAGAACGTTGGTTAAGTAAAGAGTGAGCTCTTCGCCCATTCATCTTTTATTTCCCAAGAAAGTCTAGAATAACTCCTGGTGACTTCCAATTTGTTACCTAGTTATTAGGCTTGCAGTTCTCTGAGTTGGCCTAAATCTGTCAGGGTCTATCCAAGGGCACCAACATCAAGAGATACCCTGAGATTTTACTTCTATTACTAATTATTGGAGCCCACCTTGGGGGTTTATAGTACCAGTAATTGTTCAGGAAAAATGACTCAGGGCAAATCAGCCGCAAAAATATGATATAGTGAAATCTGGTTAATAGGATTTCACTATATCATATTTTTGCGGCTGATTTGCCCTGAGTCATTTTTCATTTTCTATGGGTGATAGTTACATCAGGATTATAAAAGATGAGGGAGTCATTTCTCATTTTCTATGGGTGATAGTTACATCAGGATTACTGGACTTATTGTGGAAACATGTGCCTCGGCCTCAGATCATGTTTAGCTCCCAATAGGTAGCAGAATGCCCCTTGATTACCTGGTGCCTCTCTGGGTTACTGACCAGCCACTGGAAGCCTAGCCTCCCAAGCATGCCTTGGCAGGTGACTGCCCATCAAGCGCTCCACATTCACTGCACCTAGGGTTGACTCTGCTAATTGTTTTAGGAAATTATTCCTAATTTCCCAATTGCAGTTCCAAACTACTTCTGGCTTCTTTTGGTTTCTTAAAAAATATTGTTGAAATCTCTGTTCTTTGCAAGACCTCAAGATGCCTGAAGTTAGGGGAAAATATTTTCGTTTTTCCTCTAGGAGCGTTCTGTTTAGTCATCCTAAAATATTAGCAATATTAGCTTTGTTCATGCAGCCCGTTTTCAAAGTGATCCACTTTCCTTCTGTAGCCTATGCATAGGCATGCTTACTGGAGACTTTTTCAGCTCAGAAGAACTCACTTTATGTTAAGTAGGAAAAAAGCATTCTGGATAACCAAGGTGATGATGTTCTTTCTCCCAAGGGACTTTTACCTCAGTGATAATCCTTCATTTGTCCCCATTTCAAAGCAAGAAACAGAGGCACTGAGAAGTTGGGCTCCTTTCCCAAAGCAGGCTGCTAGTTAATGATGTCCCATACCCTCTGGGGAGACAGGAGGAGACTTTGATCTTTCTGCCATAGATTTAAAAAACTTCTCCAAGCTTCTGCGATAGATATGACTCAGGACTTAGGGGTGCCAAGGGAGAGGTTTGCCTACTTTCATGTTAGTCTTATTCTACCCTCCTAGGATGCTTTTGGCCTTCAGGTGCGTATTTGACATTCTTCTTACAGATACTTTCACTCCAGGGCCAGTGGTAGATTATAATTATGCCGATCTTTTGGGACAAAATTCAGTGTTAACTTAGAAGAAAAACAAGTGTTTCATTAGTGTAGAAGGAAAGGATAAAGAGAGGGATGTGAACTTGAAGAGGGGGTAAGAAAGTGTCCTACAGTATTCAGAGTCAGGGGAAAATGAATCCCTGCACTAGTTAGTGCCTCCAAAAAGAAGACACTATCAGCATTTCAATCAGGCCCATAATGTCAAAGACCCCACTGATGCCAAGTCCCCTTCATGGATATCACTGCTCTGGCCTCTTCCTGGAATGTACTGTATCTTTAAAGTCCCAGTGCTGTTTTCAGACTTTAGGAACTAAGGTTGTAGGTATTAAGAGAAACAATTGCTCACCTTTCTAGCAATAAGAAAACTATTTTCTTCTCACAGTTAAAATGGATTTGAATTCAATAAGCCATAGAATACTCTTTACCCTCTGTCCTGGTCACAGTTTCTGCCATCAGAATACACTCTTTTTGTTCCCGTGAATACCTGTATTACAGTGCCATGGAAACTTTCTGGTATATCTACATCATAAGTGGTTAAAGCCTTGACTTAAACTTCATGCCACACTGGCATATTCCTAAGTACAATACATATAGGAGAGAATGTAATCAGGTCTGTCACTTAGTCAGTCAAATAAATGAGGCGCAACCCCAGAAATGCCAATTCGAGAAAACAACCACAGTTTTGTTCAAGATAGACTGAGCCACTATAAATTTCTCAATTCCTAATAGAAAGCCCCTCCAAATTTAAATATCCACTTGCCTTTGCAGATCCCTTCCCACTGGAGGCATGTGATGAGAGGAAATCACCGAAAACGTGGCTGCTTCAAGGATCCTGAGCCAGATTTCACTCTCCTTGGTGTCGGGAATGACACGAATATTGCTGATGGTGCAATGACCTTTCAATAGGAAAAACTGATTTTTTTTTCCTTCAGTGCCTTATGGAACACTCTGAGACTCGCGACAATGCAAATCATCATTGAAATCTTTTTGCTTTGCTTGAAAAAAATAATTAAAATAAAAACCAACAAAAAATGGACATGCAAGATTCCAGTATGTGAAAAAAATCTTATTAAATCAATTCAACAAAAGCCATTCTTTGATACCACTGCAGAGTATTCAAACACCATGTTCTTTAATACACACACACACACACACACACACACACACACATTTGAATTCCAATTCAGCAAAGAGGCCCATCTAAGCTAAAAGAATTAATTTCTCCTGATTAAAAAGAAAAAAATCTGTCTCCCAGTGTTTGGGAAGACAGACTGGCATTTCTTCTAGGATCTGCTGACCAGATGTTTTTGGTATTTCCTGTTGGTGGTGATGTTCTGTGCACCCTATTTCCTTTCAATGTTGCTGAAATGTGTGTATCTTTAGAATGTAAATGCAACACTTAAGAAAATTCAAACACTTTGGAAAAGGGACTAAACAGTGACTTCTCTGTGCTCTTGAAATGGTTTTGTGAAAATGCTTTGATAACTTCCCACTCGATGAAGAGATTAACAGAGCTTTCAAAATTGATTTTGTGTGTAGCAAGGGATGGGGCACTATCAGGATCTACCTCTTGGTGCTTTCCTAGAATGGATCCCGGGGCTTTCCAAGAAGTCTGGAATTTCAGCTCACAGATCTGTTTTTCTTGCTTCAGTGTGCATTTTAAGTCAATAAAGCTGCGTATTTAGCATTGAGGTGAGGGAAATGCTGCCTATACTACCAGATGTGTTTAGAATATATCAGAAACAACACTGTGTTTAGCTCGGCTTTCTCTGTCTGCTAAGTATGCCTTTCAAGTGTACACCACGGAGACAGGACCGCGTTGCAAGGCGGAACAGCAGGTTCAGACCAGTTTTCAGTCTGACTTTACTCTTGCTGGGTCTGTCCTAGTAGCTGTTGCCTGCTACTGCCCATGGCTCTCCATCGGACTGCATGTGATCTTTTCTAGTTTGCAAAGACTAAAATGCATTCCCAAATGTACTGCTAATCTGAGGGCCTCAGCATCACTCCCAGATCCTTGCTTGGAGCAGTCTCTCTATTGACTCTCTCAGATCGCTCCACTGCTCCATGGGCTATCAAGTAACTAACTGCATACCTGCCGTTGGCATCATCGGAACAGTCTGAAGAAATAGTCTCCACTCACTAATTACCTCCTATATAAAGACGTATGCTTCCTGTAGTTCAGTAGTTTGCTCTCATCAGTAATGTGCATTGGGAAGATTCCAGACTGCAAAAACTAGGAGCTCGCATTCATTTCCCAAGTGTGACCCTTAGATGCTTTAGTTGACTCGCTGCATATTTGCTCTTGTCTTCAGAAAAGAAAGAAAGAAGTATTGTTCCAACGAAATGTTTCCAGAAAAGTGTAATATAAACTTTCATTCCAAAAATGGTGTCATAAGCAAATAACTCACTTGTCAAATTTCAAATGATATTGAACAAAAAAAGAAAGCTGTTGTGTTTTTGTTTTGTTTTGTTTTCATGAAACTGTGATTTTCAACTTATGAATGCTATAATGTCCCAGCGCGGGAAGCTCACGCTGTGTGAACACAAAGTTGTATAAAACAAACCAACCAACCTACACACAAACGTTTTCATAGGCACTGTATAAAGAAAAATGTATGTTTATTAACTCAAATCAGTTTTTCAGAGAGGAAACTTCACTGAGATGAAGAGGCGGGTAAATTGGTTTGTTATTTTTTAAAAAAAACTTGCATGTTTAAAAAAACGTTGATTGCTTCAAATTTCTGCTACTAACTTCAAGCTATGGGAGTTTGGCAGTAGTCACTTGAGGATTCTTTTCCAATTCTTTTCTTTTTGTTGTTAAAGCTGTACTTCAGTGAACAGAAAAATTGCCAAGCAAACTAATGGCTGTAAAAGCGTAAATTGCATGTGTGGGCATAAATTACAGAACCTCATTGCCATGAGGTATTGTACAAAGTTTTAATACATTTTGTAAATAAAATTGTAAAGAAAGAATTCTGTTTCTGTGCTTTGGCTAGATGTTTAAAGTTTACGTGGATGCAGATGCCAAGAAGTTACTCACTGACTTTCCCTAGAAGCTTTGCCAGTGATGTAACAGTCACCTTACGGGTGATTTTCACTAAGGATTACTCCTTTCTTCACTATGACTGCAAATGTAGTCACGCTCAGACCCCTCAGCTTAAGCAAAACCTCCAAGACCTTAGATTAGTTTCACTTTAGGATCTTCCATTCCCATACTTTGCCTCCTCCACCCTTTGGGACTCCTTTCCAAAGGCCTGTCTTGGCTCTAAACTTGGTCTTCAATTCTCTCATCTCCACAACTGATCTCCCACGGAAGTACCTAAATTCAGGATTATTGACCTTCAGAAACACTCCCAATTACTTTCCTATGCCATCATAACATGTATGTCCTAGTACTCTTAATTGCTAAGCTAAGTTTTGTGCTGCCGCTTTAAAGACCAATGATAATTCCTAATTGGAAAACTTTTATTCCACCAAGGATCACTCATCTACAGTGGGAGAAGAAATAATGAATTTAGGACTATACTGATTTTAGAATCGTTCTTACAGAGAAATGAAAAGCTAATGGTCTAGTCTGATTTGTAGATTCTGAATACGGAATACAACTTTATCCAATAAATAAAGCAAGTGTTTACACCAGTTTGTATTATGACCAGCTTGGAGAACAGGGGATAATGATAGGAGGAAAACAGAGGGGATAGTTTGCAACTGAACCAGAAAAGAAGGAAAGTACAGCTGACATGCTAGAGGAATAAAGGAAAAAAGATATCTGCGGCTAGGGAATTAGGAAGCAAGGAACACAAGAGCTTAAAAAGGAAGAAAAATGGGAGTGGAAAAGGAAGACTGAGAAAATTCTGAAGTGAAGGCTGATAGAATCACACTGTGAACAGCTTGGCCTACTGTAGGCATCATCATAATTGCTACCATTGTCACTGTGCTCTGAAATGCTAAATAGCTGTGAAGCCATTCACACTTCATAATTCTGCAACTGCTTTTTAAAATGAAGCAACCTGTGGCAGTCCTACCAGAAGACAATTGATTCTTGGGAGCAAGTTCAGTAACTGGATTAGAGTGATGGCCCCCGTGGGGACTGATGAAATCAGTTCAAGTACCAAACGATTTCCCTGGATCATCCAAAATAATAGATTTATGTTTTAACAGCCACTTCAATTCCTTACCCCCAAAGGAGAAAGTAACCTCAGGTGCTATGGCAGATGAAAATGGAGCACTATTTTGGTTTAGGTGGGATTTTGGGGGTTTTTTTCTCCTTGGAGGAAGGGGGAAACAAAAGAGGGTCCTTTTAGTATTTATCAAATGGGGCTAAAGGTAGTTAGGAATTTTGCTTATACATAGAGTCAGCCTTGCCAATCAGGTCTTCAAAAAGTCTTTCATTTCAAATAACATTCTCTCTGTGCACAAAAGAAGAATGCTTCTTGGTCTCCTCATCAGTATTCTTGCCCTGCTAAGACTCACATCTGATCGCACTCAGTCAATAGAACAATCTTCAAACAGGAAGGACAATGTATTTAAGGAAACCTTAGTAAGATCATGGGAGAAATGTTGCAGCAAATTGTCTCCCTCCTATTGGATGAGGGAAAGGGTCAACTGCGACTTCAGAAAATGAACAAAGAGGAGAACAAATTGAGAAGCAAGAAGCAAAACCATTATTCCTCAGAATTCAGACTCGATCAAGCAGAAGATGCATTAATATGCTATCTCACAAGGGTCAGGAACCATTTGTAACACAAACACTACCAAAGTCTACTGTTACTGAGAGAGTTACTTTCAAAATCTGAGCTTTTCAGTGACTCTGGAGCATACCCCACCCCTTTTGTCCTCACCCTGTTGGAGTGAGGTTCCTGGGACCAATTTATCATCAGATCACTTGGCAGACTTGAAACTCAGCAGCTGAGGTGTAGAACTCCCACAACTGAATTCAGATTCTCTCTTAGGAGATAATGGTGGGTGGCACTAAGAATTAATGAAACCTGCCTCCAGAACTCAAAGTGCTATGAAGTGCTAGGAGACTTCCTGCACACCTAAGATCAAGAGTCATAGACAAGCCATTTACCTTCAGTGAAGACAGGGGCACTCAGACTTTCTCAAAAGGTTTCCAGGGAGAGCACTGTTGTCAAGAGAGGATTGAGGGAGGCTTTAGGGGTTGATCACTGTCCCAAACCTACTGCCACATACTCAACATACTCAATGCTGAGGGTTCACAAATTCATTTGAATGGGCAAGATTTCCTAAGTTCTCTGACAGCCATTGTTATTATAACCAAACGTCACCTGGACAGGATGGTTGTGAGAGGGCATACACTCTCTGCCTCTCTTTGCCAGATGAGAAAGGAGCAATCTTGGCCCCTGCCCTCAGAAGGCTTACAGTCTTGGTACAAGGCAGATGATGACTAAAAAGAATCTGCATTCATTTATGTCTATTGCTGTGCTCAGAAAAAATACTTTAAAAGCCCAAAAGGAAGAATTTCCCTTTGCCCCTTCACTTGGACTTGCTCTTCTTCCTAATACAATCAGGGGTGGGGGAATTAATGAAATTTTCCTCCGTGCCTCAAAAGCTGTGAGCCTTTGCAACTGAGAAGTCATGCGGAGCCCCTGAAAGCATATAGCCACGGAGAACTTCAGAATGACCACTTCCTTGCCAGCCTTTCCAACTTCTGTGCAGGAGGTATTTGCTTATTTGTTGATTCACGATGTCCTAGCTATAAACATGTAAAACAACCTACAATGACAGCCTAAGAAATAATCCTCTCCCCATATCAGCAGCTTTGGAAAAATTACCCCAGTAGTGGTTTCACTGAGTTTCAATCCTATAGCAAAATGGTTGAATTACAATTTTCCTAATAAATATTCATTAAGCCTAAACAAGTCAATTAAAGCTCTGGTGGCAGCTCACAAGAAGCTTGAATATAGGCAGACAGAAGGAAACAACTTTTATAAACATTCCCAAATAACGTTACCGTCTTCCCCCATGAGAGTGCAAGAGTTTCTCTGAAAGACTGAAAACCCTCTCTGAACCCAGCGAAGCCCTCTAAGTTCCTCCTATTTACAGTATAGCTTCAGTAAATCTTGTTGCATCTTCCATCTCCACTTCCTCCATTATTGCAGCATGGTTCCTGCCACCACCACTGTACAGGAATTTCTCTTGACAAGGTCATCAATAAACTACAATCCATACTTTATAGCAAGCGATGGCAAACTTTGGTGCACAGGCTAAATACAGCCCACCACTTGTTTTTCTCAGTAAAGTTTCATTGGAACACAGCCATTCATTTATGTATTGTCTGTGGCCGCATTCACTCTGCAAAGGCAGAGTTGACTAGTTGCAACAGTATTGCCCGAGAAGTCTAAAATATCTACTAACTTGCTCTTTACAGAAAGTTTGCCAATCCCTAACTTACCCTACTTGATAGCCATTATGTTATTTTATCTCTTTCCAGAATTTGATGCTATTAACCTCCCCCAGTTTTGAAATCTCTATTATTTTGACTTCCATGTCAGCACTGTTTACTGGATTTCCTCCTACTCTGCTCCTGCTAACTTTTCTTCTGCTTCCTGGTCTGCTCTCCTATCTCTTAATGCCAATGTTCTCCCAAGTGCTCCCACGTTCCCTCCTTTCTTCCCACTCTCTTGTGTGCTAGCCCATGGTTTCCATCACCACCTGCATTATGATGTCTTGCAAGTCTTCATTTCTATCACACAACTCTCTCCTGAGCTCTAAACAAGTATAATTAAATGTCTATAGGACCCCCCTCACTTGGATTATGCTATAACTGTGTCAAATTTGACATTTCCAACACAAAGCTATCTGTGTTCTGTTGCCCTCACCTCACTGCTATACCAGAGCTCCCTCTAAGAATCCCTATTTTGATTTAAAATGCCATTGATGGGGAGTCAAATAAAACATTTAAAAAATCTAATGGACTTTAAAATTGGTGGATATGACAATCTGAGAAAAACAGGCTTGCACTCAAAAGCAGAACCCACAGTACAATGACAATGGAAAAGCAGATGGATCAGTTTAACACCAACATGTATAACTATAAGATGTAGTGAAAAGTAAGCATATGGTTCTTGGTATCTTTTGGATCCCTGATTCATAATATGGTTTGCACTGTGGAGGAAAACCATCTAGGGTTATCACCAAGGAAGGAATGTGCAAGCCCTGAGCATGCTAGCCAAGGGTCCCAAACCACTCCCGAGAACAGAGCAATACAAGGAAGTGGTTCTGATCACTCTGAAAGAGATATTAGATGAAACCTGGGTGGAATCAAAAAAGGAATAGGTGGGGAGTCTGCGTGTTCAGTTTATAGATACCCAAGTATGTTTATTTCTGTAAGCGTTCAGAGGACTCCAAGTAACCCATGTTATATATATATGTTTACCTTTTGCTATGGACTGAACTGTGTCTCCTCCAAAATTTATATGTTGTCCTCTGATTCCCAATGTGGCTGGATTTGAAGATAGGGCTTTTAGGAGGTAATTAAGGTAAAATGAAGTCCTAAGGGTGGGGAACCATTCTAATAGGATTGGTGGCTTTATAAGAAAAGGAAGAGACAGAGATCTCTCAGTCCACATTAATGTATGGAGGAAAGACTATGTGAACACACAGCAAGAAGATGGCCATCTACAAGCCAGAAAGAGAACCCTCACCAGCACTTGATCAGTTTCACACCCTGATCTTGAACTTCCAGCCTCCAGTACTGTGAGAAAATTAATTTCTGTTGTATAAGCTATTCAGTCTGTCAAATTTTTTATGGTGGCTAGAGAAGACTAAAATATCCTTGCCACTGTCAGAGAGTTGGGCCATACAGACACAACAGTGAGACAGGGGATCAATCACCACTGTAAATCCAGTCACCAAATTCAGAAGACTTGAAATCGACTTTGCCTGCTCCCTCCCTCATCCTTATCTTGAATCAAGTTCTAACGATTCAGTCTCTCTGATATCCCTGAAAT